AGACAGGGCTTTGAACCCATCACAGACCGTGGCTGTCAGGCTATGAACCCTTCACAGATGGTGACAGACAGGCTTTGGATCCGTCACAGACCGTGACAGAAAGGATTTGAACCCATCACAGACCGTGGCTGTCAGGCTTTGAACCCTTCACGGTTGGTGACAGACAGGCTTTGGATCCATCACAGACCGTGACCGACAGGATTTGAACCCTTCACAGATCGTGACAGACAGGCGTTGGATCCATCACAGACCGTGAAAGACAGGCTTTGGATCCATCACAGATCGTGAAAGACAGGCTTTGGACCCATCACAGACCGTAACGGACAGGCTTTGGACCCAGCACAGACTGTGACAGAGAAACTGTAGTTCTAATGCATCAGATAAACGATTAGCTATAAATGTATTGTAAAGAAATGGAACAAAACGATTTGCATTTAATTAGTAACAACAGATCCATCATGTTTCACATTTTTAATCCCGCAAGGGATTGCGCTAATCGCTTTTGTTCTTGAACTTTTTTTTTCTTATTAAATATACATCGCGGCTGAGAAAATCATTAATTAATTTTCATAAATTAGTTATCGAGCTCATTTCTCTCTTTTTAACGACAAAAATAAAATTAACGGAGCTGATTTATATCTTTTCAGAGTATAAATTAATTTTCGAGCTCAAAACTTTCATTCAGGTAAAAAAATATAATTTTATTACAACCGAGGTCATTTCTCTTATTTTAAAGCCAATTAAACACACAGAGCTCAAATCTCTCTTTTTTCCGAGCTCAAATCTGTCTTTTTTCCGAGCTGATTAATTATTTTATCCGGCCTCAAATCTCTCTTTTTTCCGAGCTCATTTATTATTTTATCCGAGCTCAAATCTCTCTTTTTTCCGAGGTCATTTATTATTTTATCCTTTTGAAATAATTTGCTTGTCTTAATGAGCATACCAATTAACGATAATTGTCATGTGTTTGTTGGTCACGAAAAAGTATGAAAGATGGACACGCAATAACTTGATGCTATTAAGAACGGTTTCTTTTCTCTTATGTCTCTTCTCAATCATGTGACTAATATAGGAACTATTCACTTATTCTTCTCTGAATGTGTCACTCCTTTCGATCTTTTAATTCTCTGATCTTCTCGGCTTTTATTCTATCTTTGAACAGAGTATCGATAGCAAAAAGAAATTACAAAAAGTTATGAAGTTGTGAACGACGATGTTGTTTCGTTTACACTTACTCCCCTCAAATGTTTGAAAATTGAACAGCTATCTCTCTTAGCTGGTCATTCCTTATTCATACATTTATTGTATCCCTTTTGTCTCTTGTTATTTCTGTAAATTTATTCAAATTTGGTAATGATACATTAATTGTCGTAGTCATTACTGCTTTCCTTATTTCTTTGTTTCAAACAAATTGTCGAAAAATCATTCATTAGGCAACAAAAAATGTAATTCTACGTAATTATAAACGAATCAAAACTAAAACAAATCATATAAAGTTAATATTAAATTCATTCTACTTGATCAGTATCTATAACAGAGATGTTCATCGCGGCTGAAAATCTGCCGCTGCCACGCCGCCGACTTAGAAAAAAAAAGGTGCCGCACCGCAGCCGCGCCGCGACGGTTTATAAAAAAATGTTGCCGCGCCGCGATGACTTATAAAAAAAACGTTGCCGTGGCGGTTTACAACAAAGTGTTTCTAATTTCACTGCTGCGACTATATTTGACCAGAGATATTGGTACTAGTCCATCAGATTCATTCAGTCTAGGGGTGTTTCATTTGTAAACCCTGAAATTCTATTAAATTCACGCAGTTTTTCAATGTTCCCCAAAAAAATCCTGCCGCTGCCGCGATGGTCTTTTAAAAAACCTGCCGCTACCGCGCCGCTGTCGCGATGATTTTTAAAAAATCTGCCGCTACCGCGCCGCTGTCGGGGTGATTTTTTAAAAAACCTGCCGCTGCCGCTGCCGCCATGGCCATCGCGGCAGCAGCAGCGCCGCGATGGACATCTCTGATCTATAGTTTCTTTAAACATCGAGAAGCACATAAAATCAAACGTGTAATGACATCAAAGAGGAGAAGGAAAGAAGAAAATCACAAAATAGTTGTATATCAGAAAGTCAATTAAGAGAGATACATGAAAGACAAGATATTGTCCCTATCTTCAACTCAATTAATAGGTAAAAATATGTTGTAATCACTGACATCGTCTAATTATGAACCGTTCATTAAAAAAAAGTAGTGTTTCATTTTATCAATGAATCAAATGATGAACCAATTAGTGTAGTATCTAGAGTGAACATGGAGATGTAAATACTGGATAAAATACTGGATGAGTAGAACATCTATTTCATGTAAAAATGCTATAATATCATTTTGAAGTCGACTAAAATCGTACCATTATTATTTGAAAAAATTTGACACCCTTATTATTTTTTTCTTCACTAGTTTGAAGTTTTTTGTCTAATGCTTCTAATTTGTCATGATAACTTAACCAAGTTCAATCTATATTTAATGAAAAATAATCAGTTTTCATTGAACTTCATTACTTTTATAAGAGAGAACACATAGTCGAACGAACGATTACACCCTAATTTACTTATATCTTAATTCATTTGGTTTAAAAATCCCTACCCAAATGAATTTGTGTTAACTTCTTGTGCGTGTTCGTGATAAACAAATGAATTTAGAATATCGTATTCATTCTGATGCAAGTGATGTTCATACAGAGTGCCACCTATAGCTAACTTTCTTTGATGTATATTTTCATATTGATATTTTATGGACTGCGGACTGCATTTTGGTTCACGTGGATTTCGGCTCACTTCCTATGACCATTTAAATTTTATATTAAAGTCCAATGGATACCTTATTGAATTCAAGTTGGTATTGGTGATAAAGAAAGTATCAACTAACATTGTAACAATCCATCATCTGTTACTGTCACTGTCAGTCATACGTGAAAACTAAACAATGATGAAAGACTTCGATATAATTAAGCCTACCCAAGCCTTTATCTGCGCTGGTTTGAGCCTACCCAAGCCTACCCTTTTCTCAGCTAGGGTAGGCTCAAGCCTCGTGAGCCTACAGGCTCCGCCGCCTATGAAGAGAACTGTCTATTTAATAATACCAGCAAAAACAAAAATTAGAAAAACGAATGGCTACACATACTGAAATGACCAAGGAAGTATATTTATTCAGAGTGAATAAACATGACAATGAACATGTTAAAGTTATTTTCTATAAAAATTGAATCGCTGCGAAAAGATTAAATAAATTTAAATCATTGTTAATAAAGTTTAAAATAAATTAAATTTTCTTCATAATTTGAGTCTAGAAATAAATTTAGCTAAAGACAATTTAAATTTATTTTTAAATATAAATCATGGA